GGTTAGTGAGGATAGAACTGTGGAACAGAAGTGAGCTGCAGTGATTCCATCTGGAATCCTTTCTGTAGGACCATGACAGGCAGTTGTCCAGCCCCTGCCTGAATGCTTGCAATGATGGAGAGCTCACCACATAACGAGGCAGTCCTGTTGCGTTCTGATGGATAACTTTAGATTGATGTAAGGGAGAGCATAGCGTTGGGAAATTAAATGTTACTTTGTGGAACTCAACGTCAACTCTAGAAGAAGGCAAGAAATACAGCTATTGTCTATGGATGCCTTGAATACCAAGATAGATAAATCCTCGTGTGCCAAGATCTCCCTGAGAAAGAGCCATAATAAGAATGTGAGTGGCTGGTGGGTCTGTGTGTAGATCCAGGCTCTAAAAATGGAGGTTCTCCCAAGAATTTGGAAGACTGAGTCCTTTCTCTGCCATCCCATCCAAGAATGGATTATGCCTATTACACACACTATGTAAACTATGTAAATAGTTTCTCTAATAAAAGCGGAACTCTGGTGGTGCAGGGACTTGGGTGGATGTCCAGAATTACCTATGTAAATAGTTTCTCTAATAAAAGCGGAACTCTGGTGGTGCAGGGACTTGGGTGGATGTGGACATGAGTAGGAACAAACATTTCACCAGCATTTAAAAAAACGTATTTTTATATTTTTGAACCATGCGCATAGTGTATATTACCTTACTAAAAAATTAAATAAATACAAAAATAGTTTCCAGATTTGTCCTGTAGTCACTCAGAATGACTTTGGAAAGGAGGCTTCTTCTTTTTTTGATGTAACACTCTAGATATTCAGTTTGCCTGAAACATCTCCACCGAGAAAGGCCCCTGAGTGACTGTTCTGATGTGCCTTGTGAAATTGAAATTTGGAAACTGTAAATTAGTTATCAGTAAAAGCTACCTTAATTGATTACCCTAGATGGTTGCTGTAGGGCTCTGCTATAAGAGGGGAAACTGCACTTTTGCTTGGTTGTCGGCTTCCTTGAATTTTGTAGAAGCAATTGTTCCTGCTTGAAGTAGAAAATGCTCACTAGGGAAAAAAGAGAAATTGGTTTCAGAGGAGCATTATCTCTTCTATGCAACAAATTAAGAAAATGTTTGCAAGATCAAGGAGCAAACAAGAGGCCAGGCGCCGGCTAGGAACTATGTTTTGCAGTAAAAGCTAATGTAATTTGAAGTCATATTCTGTAGCTTCTTTGATTACAATCATAAATCATCATGGTTTGCTATTGACTGAAGACAGGTAAAGTCCATTGTTAGGAGGTTTTCCCTCCTAAAAGTACCGTATTATCTCATCAATATCTTCTTCAGGGAAAATCAGTGAATATTTTCATGGCATCCCTTTGGTGAACTAACCAAAATTACAATGTATACATATATCTAATATGAAAAGTTTTTATCACCAGCACTTAATATTCTATTGTAAGTCAAATATTGTGCTGCTCCTGTGTTTATTACAGCTATAGAGGAAAACATTAGTTTTAACAAAATGATCAAATGTGCATTGCAGGACATTTATCTCCGTAATCCAAACATAAAGTGGAATGACATTATTGGACTCGATGCAGCCAAGCAGTTAGTCAAAGAAGCTGTTGTGTATCCTATAAGGGTAAGGAGGGGAAGCCTCTTGGGGGTTATTTCTGTTCATTATCCATTGGACAGGCTGTATGTCATAGACCCATCACAAAGGGAAGAGCAGGATGATTTTCTGTCTACAAGTTAACTTCTTCTGCCTGTGTCACAACACTTTGCTGACACTGGAACACCAAGGCCTAGTCTATTCTAGGCAATTTAAAATCATGTTACATATTGTGTCTGTCCTAAGTGATAATTTAAGATCTAAGACTCTGCAGTATATATGATTTGTTATCTAGTATAGATTGGTTTGGATTAGCCTGCATCCCTAAAAATATACTTATTATAGTAGAATTACCTCCCATAGGAGAGGTTCTCTCATTCTGTTTCTATAGATCCTCTTCTCATCCCCACCCCCTGCATCATCTAGGGCTTTGGTTTTGGCTGGTTGTGAAAACTGGACAGCCTCTTCCAGGGCAGTGGCCATCAGAACCAGCATGTTGTGCTCATTAGTTATTCCACACAAATCTCTGTGCAGCTCACTAAAGGGGTAGAAAAATAGAAAAATGATACTTTTCATGTTTGGTTTACAAATGGGGTGATGAGGAGGTCAGTGTATCACTTAACATTATTATTTGTCTGTAGTTCTATGGGTAGGCAGTTTGGGCTGGGTTCAGCTGGGATGGCTCATCTTTTCCCACATGGGATATTTGGCTGGGCTCAATCACATGTCTGAGGCATCAGCCAGAATGGATGCAGAAGATGAAAAGGCTGGGAAAGTTGGAATAAACAGGACAGCTGAGGCCTCTCTCCATGTGGCCTCTCATCCCCTAGCAGATAAACCCAGTCTTGTTCACATGGTGGCAGAGGGTTCCTAGAAAGAGGCAAAAAAGAGAGAAGTCCTAATTCATGAACATTATTTGTGTCTCTTTCCATAGTTCTTATATTTGCTAGACTTATATTTTCAAGTACCTTCTTATATTTTCTAGTGTCCCATTGTCCAAAGGCATAAGGCTGGGCCCAGATTCAAGTGTTGGAGAAATAGACTCCACCTTTTGATGGAAGGCACTGCAAATAAGTTGTGACCATTTTTTGTAATTTCTGGCAGTCAATATTATGAATTTATTTTATTGAGTAACCTATGTATTCTTACCACTGTGCCCATGCAGCCCCTGATTTTGAGATGCTTTTATTCTAAGGACACAAAAATCAATAAATTTGGATTGTCTTTTCCCCCTCTTTTTTCCTGTGTTCAGACATGGGGGTAAGAAATATGCTGGTGTTCAGAATTAATAGAAATTTACTCAACTTTTCCTCTAAGTGAAACTATAGCATAAAACTTCAGAAAAGATAGAACATCTCATTGGAACTCCCTGGATATGTTATCTCCATGGCATTATAAGCTCTGTGAGTGATGATGTCCAGATTTGACATTAGCATCAGCAAGAAACTAATAGCTAGTTGTAATTTCAGCATTACTTTTTCTTCCCCTCTCTTTTCTACGTAAGCTCTGTGAGTGATGATGTCCAGATTTGACATTAGCATTAGCAAGAAACTAATAGCTAGTTGTAATTTCAGCATTACTTTTTCTTCCCCTCTCTTTTCTACCAACCCTGCCCACCCCAACCCCTCGGGCTGTTTGAATTTGAATGAATGGGAGAGACTCACTGAAGTCCATGCATGTCCTGTTTAAAGTCAGCATCTCCTAATACATTTGCCACTAAATGTTCCCAGCTTCTAAAACAGGCTTCACCATAGCTTTGTTCTGCACTCATATCTGCCTTTATCTGTTGGCTCTAATATTTATCTTAAAGTTCATACCTGCTTTACAACATTCAAAAGATTGTCAGATGCTCTGCATTTAGAACTCTGGAGGAAACAATGTTATGCATATAAGAACTAACTGCTGTAATGGAGAGGAAAGGTACTAACATATACCTTTCTTTTTCTTCAAAAAAAATGCTCTTTAAAAGAGCCACAAAACTTAAGGCAGGAATTCTTATTAAGTGTGAAAATAAAATTGGGATAAGTGAGATATGACCTTAAACAAACAAGGAAGGCCTGAATCTTAGAGATGTGCTGTTTCTCACTCTAGTTTTCTAGCTTGTCTGTGCTAAGGGTGCACAGACTGATTTCTTAATACCAAATCTCATCACTGTTCCTTGTTCCCATAGTATCCACAGCTGTTTACAGGAATTCTTTCTCCCTGGAAAGGACTACTGCTTTATGGCCCTCCAGGTAAACACATCTTTCTATTTTGGTCTTGGTACAAAGTGTGTGTGCAGAGGATGAATTGTCACCTTCTGTCCTCGTGTCAGGACCGGGGCAAATGAGAGCTGAGTAACTACTTCCTTCTTCACCTGTGAGCCTGACTTCTGTCTGTAAGCAGAGCAATGGAGTTCAAGTGTCCACTCACATTTTATCCACAATGTCTCCAGGTACAGGAAAGACTTTACTGGCCAAAGCTGTGGCCACTGAATGCAAAACAACCTTCTTTAACATTTCCGCATCCACCATTGTCAGCAAATGGAGAGGGGATTCAGAAAAACTTGTTCGGGTAGGCATGCTTCATTTTGGTTTTTAAAAATAAGTTCTAGCAGAATATGGTGGTACAAAGTGATATCAGAGCTTATTTGTTTTTGAGTGATTTAGGTGTTAGATTTTATCCTGGATCTTGATTACCAAAAGCCTGGGAAATGGATTGACTATTATATGTGGATATTAATAATGCCCCCACCAGCAAAACGTGATCTCCCTTCCTTTGGGAATTTGACCAATAGTGCTTTTTTGATTCATGCATCTTAGGAATGGAAGCTGGAAAAAGAAAAAAGTCTTTGAAGTAGCCTATTTTTCTTCATTCAAGAAGCATTTATTATTAAACATGTGCAGTATATTCAGTTAACATTTACTGAGAGACCACTATTGTATGCTAGTTCCTACACTAGGTACTCTAAGGAAGAATCAAGAAACTTGAAACTTAATTATCCTTTCAGATGTTCTGAGCAACTTTTCCTCCACAGTGCCCACAGCCTACAGGGTTTTTGCTTTCCTAAAGAGGCTGTTTCCATCTTTACAATATCTTCTTTATAGTCTATGATATATTTTACGTCACAAAATTTTACTATGTCTTCCAGTCTCCTGAAGAGAACTCCTGTTTATGCTTTGTGCTTCAATGTAAGATAGATCCTTCTCAGAAACCCTGTTAAATGATCATGCTCTGTAAAATGACAGAGATCTAATCAATATTAAGTGATTATAAAATATATATCTTCTGAAAAGTAATAACTCTAAATTATTATGCTTAAATTACATTCCTGTGTATGACTCATTTTCAAACTTTTATGGCCTATTTGGAAGTCATCATAGAACACTTTTAGAGAATTGACTTACCTAAAATAATCTATTATTCACTACTTTGGTTTGTTTATAAGTTGTCTCGAATGTGTAAGTTTTTGTAAATTCTTACAAAACTTAAGATTTTAAATCTTAAGATTTTAAAACTTAAGATCTTAACTTAAATTCATAATTGAAATTCGTGGAAATCTGCACTGATGTCTTCTACCTCTTCACTCTTCACTTTGAGTCTCAGTGCCAGTTCCAAGGATGGAGCTTGAATTTAGCTGCTCCTACATTGTGGTTTCCATGTGATTCTAGTTAGCTGGCTTTCAATTAGCTGAAATTTAACTAAATAGAATCCTTATCAGCCTGAAGACTTTTTTCTTTTCTTTTCTTTCTTTCTTTTTTTTTTTTTTTGGCATTTTATTTTTGTGTGCTGAATAACAACAAAATTCTTAAAAGATGCCTCCAGAATCAGATTAGATTCATCTCCTGCTATGAAAAGTGGAGTTTAGAACCATGAGCAGCAGATACTGCAGAGTGATCAAAGAAAGATTACCTTGTACTTTCTGAAAAGGATTTACCTAGGCAGAAGAATAAATTTAGATATTTTATCAATATTCTTAACAAATATTGAAGCTAGATGGATTTTCTTGTTTAATGTTGAGTAGCCAGAAAAGTCAATTAAGAACTCTCCATTCTGTGTGAACATTTTGTTTAATGTTTTCCTCTGCTTCAGTATTATTTTGTTAGAATTCTAAGACTGAGGAAATGATTCCTCCCCGAATTTCTCCCCTTCCTGTACCATATATTTAAAAAACAACTGCCTTTTAAAAAAAGTATAAAAAGGTATATAGACCCTTGAGTGCTCAGAGCCATCTACTATTAGCAGTTGTTGGTGTAGCCTTCTAGAATGTTTCTGGATAACTACATTGCCCTAGAAAATAGTGTCTATATCTTCTTCCTTTTTAAGTACAGGTAGGACCATATCATATATCCCTCTGTACCTTGCTTTTTTTTTCCTACTTAACAACCTAACTTAAACACTGTTCCACATTGTTGTAGATAGAACATATTTTTTTGTATGTCTACATGCACTTCATTGCATGGATGCACCAAAATGTATTTAATCAGTCTTATCTTGATGGGCCTTTAGGTTGCTTTCAGTCTCTTGCTGTTATGAACAAAGCTCCAGTGGACAGTCTTATATGCACATATGTGTCTGCATGTATAGCAATATAGGACAATTTCTCTGAAGTACAATTGCTGGATTAGAAGGAATGAGCATCATTGATTGTCAAATTGCCTGCTGACAGGGTTGTACCAGCTTACAGTTAGTGGTTTTTGAGTGTGTTTGCTTCCCCACACCCTGGTCAGCACTGTGTAGTGCCAAAATTTTTTTTTTTTTTTTTTTTTTTTTTTACCTGGATGTTATTCTAGATTCCTGTCTTAATCACATCCAAATGATAGCTAATTTCTGACCATCTACACCCTGAAATTCCATAGAATCTTTGCCAATCTGATGGTGAAGACTTATATTTCAGTGATTGAATGTGCATTTTAATATTTCACTGCTCAAATGTGCATTTCTTTGATTCTGGATGAACTTCAGCATCTCTTTATAAGTTTAGACGATATTTATATTTTTTCTGTGAAATACATTTTTACTTTGGATATTTTTTTAAAAATTCAAGAAGAAACAGATAACCTCTCCTAAACTTGAAGGATCTCGTTTCCTTTCAGAAAGTACTTAATTTTCTTTTTATTTTCTGAGCTCCTGGAAAGATCACCCAGAAAATCCTGGTCATGCTGTCAAGCTCCTTACTGTGAAGCTTCCAGATGAAGAAAGCTCTTCAAAACCTTCCCTGAAATCAGAGAAGCTCTTTCCACCATTTTCTATTCCAATTAAAGAGTTATTTATAGGGAACCCTTGAGTTATGTTCCTCGCTCCTCTCCTTCTGTTCATGCCTCTTAGGAGTTGATCGCTATTGAATAGTTGAGTGGTCTCTTTAGCAAATGCATGCACCTGTTGATGCTTACATCTTTCAGCACCCCCACCCCACCCTCAGTTGTATTTAACTTCCTCCAAGTACCTCTGAAAAATATTAGACTAATGCTTCCAGAAGCCCTTACCCAGGATTCTATATATGCCCTGAGAGTGGAAAGAGCAGTGGCGTGGGCAATGCGGAGACCTAGGCTCCAGATGTGGTTCTCGTTCCAACTGGATGTTTGGTCTGGTAGAGGCTCTTTGTCTCTCTGCCCCTTAGCGAGCTCCTTAAAAACGTGTATGGTTCTAAGATAAGGTTCCTGCTGTTCCATTTTTCATTGAATAGAGTGCCGCTGTTGTAATCACCCTTAACATCAGGTATTTTGGGGCTTTTCTCTTTGTGACAAGGAAGAAAAGTTGTTTGCTTCTAATTAGGTGTCCTCTGTTGTATCTAAAAGGCGAGTGTGCTGAGTATCCCAGCATTGCCGTTGTTCTCTCAGTTCACTAGACTGAGCCAGTCTTGCCAGTGAAACAGGATTCGGTGAAAGGAAAATGCTGGCACATGAGTCTGGATGCCCCACACACTTGGGGGGAGGGGGAGGAATTTCCCATTTGGCAACAAGGAGACCTGGAAGGGATAACCTGCCGCTGCTGGTGAAAACCAGTCTGGCTTTTTCTGAGCCCGTCCCCTCTTATTTGTTCTGTGATGCTTTGCTAAGTGCTAAGTGACACAGAGAATAAATCCCCCATGCCTATTAAAGAATCTCTATTCTTTTCTAAATCTGTACTGTTTTCTCCGATCAACCAGTGAAGAATTGTATATGGTGCTCAGGAGATCAGTTTCCGGGTTAGAAAAAAAAGGTTTAGGTTTTTATACTCTTTTCATCACCACAACATCTCCCTTTAGAGCCCTTTATTTTGGTTTTATATATCTGTTCTTTTGCTGTTTGCTTTCCTGTTCTTGCTCAGTCTATAGTATTTTATTTTGGAATAAAGCATCTCATTCAATCAGGGATTGCCTTCGAGTACCTGAGCCCAGCAAGCAGCAGTGCTGAGGTGGTACGCGGAATGGGCAATGCGGAGACCTAGGCTCCAGATGTGGTTCTCGTTCCAACTGGATGTTTGGTCTGGTAGAGGCTCTTGGTCTCTCTGCCCCTTAGCGAGCTCCTTAAAAACGTGTATGGTTCTAAGATAAGGTTCCTGCTGTTCCATTTTTCATTGAATAGAGTGCCGCTGTTGTAATCACCCTTAACATCAGGTATTTTGGGGCTTTTCTCTTTGTGACAAGGAAGAAAAGTTGTTTGCTTCTAATTAGGGGTCCTCTGTTGTATCTAAAAGGCGAGTGTGCTGAGTATCCCAGCATTGCCGTTGTTCTCTCAGTTCACTAGACTGAGCCAGTCTTGCCAGTGAAACAGGATTCGGTGAAAGGAAAATGCTGGCACATGAGTCTGGATGCCCCACACACTGGTCCTCTGTTGTATCTAAAAGGCGAGTGTGCTGAGTATCCCAGCATTGCCGTTGTTCTCTCAGTTCACTAGACTGAGCCAGTCTTGTCAGTGAAACAGGATTCGGTGAAAGGAAAATGCTGGCACATGAGTCTGGATGCCCCACACACTTGGGGGGAGGGGGAGGAATTTCCCATTTGGCAACAAGGAGACCTGGAAGGGATAACCTGCCGCTGCTGGTGAAAACCAGTCTGGCTTTTTCTGAGCCCGTCCCCTCTTATTTGTTCTGTGATGCTTTGCTAAGTGCTAAGTGACACAGAGAATAAATCCCCCATGCCTATTAAAGAATCTCTATTCTTTTCTAAATCTGTACTGTTTTCTCCGATCAACCAGTGAAGAATTGTATATGGTGCTCAGGAGATCAGTTTCCGGGTTAGAAAAAAAAGGTTTAGGTTTTTATACTCTTTTCATCACCACAACATCTCCCTTTAGAGCCCTTTATTTTGGTTTTATATATCTGTTCTTTTGCTGTTTGCTTTCCTGTTCTTGCTCAGTCTATAGTATTTTATTTTGGAATAAAGCATCTCATTCAATCAGGGATTGCCTTCGAGTACCTGAGCCCAGCAAGCAGCAGTGCTGAGGTGGTACGCGGACCACATGGAGTAATTTGGGGAACAGAAAGGGGCAAAATTCTTCAGCCCCGTTACCCATGACTGGAACCCTATCCTTTCCCTACAATTCTTCCTTCAGACAATAACCCTCCTATTGTCCCCAAAAGTTAAAGGAAAAATCGTGAAATGATTTTTCATATTCCCAGGATTTTGTGTCCGTTTGGAACATGTTATTGGCAGGGTGTCTCAGGGGTTAACCAGCTGACTGGAAGCTTGGGAACTGAGTTTTATCTTAAGCTCTCCCATTTATGGTTAGTCAGTTTGCACTAACCACCTACCCTCTCTGGCTCTAATTTTATCAAGTGATAAATGGAAATAATTGGACCATCCAACCCCATGGGGTGGTGGTAGGGAGAAATAATTGTAATGATTATAAAATTATTGTGAAATCACCGAGGGCAGCATAAATGCTTTTTATTATAGTCACTCTAAGCTTTAAATCTCTGGGAGCATCTGAGGACTTTAACTGGAATATATGAATTTGAATATGTGTCTGCTTTTCCCCCACACAGGTGTTATTTGAACTTGCCCGCTATCATGCCCCCTCCACCATCTTCCTGGACGAGCTGGAGTCAGTGATGAGTCAGAGAGGCACGGCTCCTGGGTAACAGACAGGGTTTTGTTTTTTTTTCCTTTTGGTCATCATTTCTCTCCTCTTGTAAGTGTGTTTGATGGTCGGAAGCCCATCGACATTTACCAGCAGAATGAGCCTATTAATAAGCCCACAAATTTTCTGCAGACACATGGAAAGGTCTTTAAATTAGATCCTGTTAACTGAATAGCTGATTTAAGTAGTTTTTATAACCGGAGGAAATGTCATCCTCCCTTCCCCCTTCCCCACAGAGTGGTTTTCAGACCCGAAGATCATCCAGCCCCAGGATCCCAGGCTGCCACAACAGTCCTGCCGGCTCAAAATAGCCACCTATGACCACCTCGTCTGGAGCCAGAAGGGCTGCCCGTGGGGAGCGGGGCCTGCCCACTCAGCCACTGCAAAGGGCCAAGTCTGTATTTCACTCCTGCAAGGCAGTCCTTGAGGGTGTGTGAGGCCAGGGAAGCCACCACTTCTCTGTGTCATCAGGTTATGGCTCAGCGTGTCTGATTTTAAATATGTCACATAGGTTATTTCTAAAGATGAAGTGTCAGCTAATGTCCCCAGCAGGAAGGAACACTTCTCAGACTGAAATAAGCCTTCTGTTTGTGTTTCCAAAAGGCTGAGTAGTGTTGTTTTGTTTGTTTGTTTTTAAGACCAGCTTTCTGTCTTGATCAGAGGTATTTTTCTTTGAAACTTTACTAAACTTGGTACACCTGGCTTGAAAAGACAGATCTCTGGGAAATCTCAACACAGCAGCATTTATTAATGACCATTAATGGTCTATCATCAAGGCAGAACTAATCTCAATAAAAAGCAAATAATTAGCTTGTTGGAAGTATAACTAGAATACAATTTCTGCAATTTTACTTATTGGAAACATTTTCTTTTCTTCTTTCTACTGCACCATCACCCAGCTGGGGATCCACCAGAACCCCTAGTAGTCATTCTCTCTGCAAGGACCAGGCCCCTTCTGGCCCACCTTACTGTGGTGACCTGTGCACTTGTCCTCACAGTTGCTTTGTTGGTCCCTATCTCTAGGTTTTCCTACAGCCTTGATTGGGCTAATATGGAAACTCATCAACTACTACTCTTGAATGCACTCCAGGTTTTGCCTCAAACTTCAGTTTCCTTGACTGGAACTTGAAGACTCTAAAATTAGAGTCTTCAAAGCATCAGGGAATAAGGGCAGATACTCTGAAGACTTCTTGGATCCTATAGTGTTAAAAGAATCATAATTAGGAGCAAATGCTAAATAAATACATAACTATGCTGTGAGAGTATCTTCTCCCTTAGGAAAAGATAGTTGGGTTGTAAGGGCATAAATCCTAAAAAACCATATATCTAATTTAAGTTGCTATTGCACACATGCACAGACAAGAAGTCAAATATCCTGTTGTCCAAGAAAGGCATTTTTTTTTTTTTTTTGTCCTTTTAACTAGATCTATACAAGTGAGGAGGCAGGAGAGTCTGCTGAATGTGGTCAGTGGTTAAACTCAATTTGGATTGTTGTGGTCCTCACAGTGTGCTCCTTCTTGGTGGTAAGATCTTTGGAATTGGAGGAGAGGACTTGGAGGGCAAATTTGCAGAGAAAACTGCCTCCAATCTGCTCTACAAAGAAAGTGTTGGTTTCCATGTCATTATCTTGCTTTTTATCAGAAGAGAGTGAAACAGATTCAGTGTAGTAGATCATCTTTCCTGAATGTTAGATCTATAATTGATACTAAAAGAAATACTGTGTGAAAGTACTTTCATGCATGCTATATAAATAAAAGGGATTATTCTCAATTATGCCATTTTTTAAAGGCGTAAATAACGCTGCAGATAGACACGGTTGGGCTGTATTTAGTCTATCCAGTGGCACTATTTACCCCTTAATTATTTTCTAGTTCACTGCCAACCTTTGGTTTTCTTTTGAATACCACCATTATATGAGGGTACTTCAAAAAGTTCATGGAAAAATAGAATTAAAAGATAATACAAATCTTTTCATGAACTTTTTGAAGCACCTTTATATTCACTTATTTCCTTTCTATTACTCTACGTGAAAATGATAACAAATAGCTTTTCTCTAACTCTAGAATGAGTGGCTCCCTTAGCCATCAGAACAGAATCCATCCTACTGTCACTGGGTCATTGCTGTGAGTGTCAGTCTTATCATGAAGGTGATGGCCCTGCCATTTGAGACAATCACACCTCCCTTCTCTCTGTAGGGGAGAACATGAAGGAAGCCTTCGGATGAAGACAGAGTTACTGATGCAGATGGATGGGTTGGCTTGCTCAGAAGATCTTGTGTTTGTCTTAGCAGCTTCTAACCTGCCATGGTAAGAGATCAAGAGAGTACATTTTGAATACATTTTCACGAGCCACTAAGCTCAGATGAAAATTTTATACTGACCATTTCAAGCAAAGCCTCATTGTTTGGTTCCAGCCCTAGAAGATTAATTTGAGGGCTTTACTGTTCAGATCCACAGTCCTATCTGTACCATGAAAGATCTGCCTTAATAGAGAGAACACAGGCTACCACTGACGATATTTAAAATGAACATTTTGAGTTTAAAGGCAAATTATATACTATGTTTAAATTAAGCAGGGCTTTGGCATAGAACTATAAAATGCTTAAAATCTCCAAGACTCAAAGAATATTTCAGAAACAAAATGTTTGGATTTTATTAGTATTAAAATTAAACTTTTTTTAAGTTAGAAGGAAAACCTTTTCTTTAATGTTGCACGGTAAATAGGAAGCTAAATAAGCTCTAATTGAAAATATAATACACTCTCAGAGTCTTTTATTCCAACAGTATCCCAGAGTGTTTTAAGTACGATTCCAGAAGTGGAATTGGGAAATAAGAGATGTTGACTAAGGAAAAACAATATCTACTTGGAAGTAAATAGGAAGTTAAATAAGCTCTAATTGAAAATATAATACACTCTCAGAGTCTTTTATTCCAACAGTATCCCAGAGTGTTTTAAGTACAATTCCAGAAGTGGAATTGGGAAATAAGAGATGTTGACTAAGGAAAAACAATATCTACTTGGAAAGTATATTTAAAAAATAATTGCAATCCCTTTATAGTTCTAAGAATATTTTCACATACATCATTTCTTTCAAGCTGCAGATGAGGCAAGAGACTTAAAGGAATCACTGCTGTCCATTCTCAGACAGGAACCAAGTTCAAGAGAGGTCAATCCACCCAAAGTCAAGAGCAATCTTGTAACAGAGCTGGGACTCAGGACACCCTTCCCCCACCCCACCCCACCCCACCCAATTCTTTTCCCACATTCAAAGATGAAAATAGAAACTCTTTTGTAGCATAGTGATCATCTGGGATCCCAAACCAGAAGTCACTAAAAAATTATGACATTTATGCATAATCGTTTATTTTAAATATATTCATAACTTAAATCTAGCTCCCCCTCCCCCTGAATTTATAAGATTTTCTCTACTGTGTTAAGGCGATCAGCACTTCACTTTTGAAGAGATAGGCGTTTATACTGAAACAATATTAAAGTGGAGTCCAACCAAAGAACCATCATTTAAATAAGATCATGGAACCCTTCAGGGAAGGAATCCCTGTTCCCTCGTCTGTTTGAAGCAGGGTTGATCATAACCACTTCACTTATGTTCGGCGTGACTGTGAGAGTCACTGGGGTGGGTGTGGAGCTGTGAAGCTTCCGGTAAGTGCGGCGAAGGTCTGTGTCCCTGGGGGACCTACACATTTTCTAGAAGAATGGAAGGCCCTAACTCCCAGTGAATACCTAAGAATTTTTTGAGGAAGTTATTGTCCTACCTCAGTTTCCCTAAGCCCCAAATAAAATGGTTCACAGTGCCCCCCCCAAAATACCCAGAAAACAAAATACATAAAACAAAGCAAACAAACAAACACAGAACTCTCAAGGTTTTCTTTTTTTAAGAATCCCATAAAATAACTGAACTTGGCTTTTTTACACAAAAGGAGGTATGTTACATAAATTTGTCTGTATCTTGATTTTTTCTTTTAATCTTAACAAAATATCCTGGAGATTTTTCCAAATAAGTATACAAAGTTCCTCCTTATGTCCTTTATAGCTGTGTAGTGCTCCATTTCGTGTGTGTGATAATTTATCCCACCAGTCACCTAATGATGGCTGTTTGGGTTATTCCTGCTCTTTTGCTATTAAAAATGATGCTGTAATGAGTAACAGTGTGCCTATATCACTATGCGTATTTGCCAGTGTATCTTAGGGGTAGGTTCCTGGATATAGATTGCTGGGTCCAAGGGTTAATGTGCATGAAATTATGGTAGAGACTGCCAAATTTCCCTCCATAGAAGTTTGACTTTGTATTCCCACTTGTGTCCTGCTTTCATTACTTAACATTATAGCAAGAACATTTCCAATGTCATTAAATAATCCTTGAAAATTGGATTTTGTAATGGCTGCCCAAAATTCCCATATGTGAATATACCATAATTTAGTTAATCATTCCTTTCCTATTGAACATATATGATGCTCCAAAACTTACTCTGTTATAACTAACACTGAAATGAGCTTCCTTGTATAAAAGTTTTTGACTAAAGTTCTGGTTATTTCCTTAGGACAGATTACTGGAAGTCAGATTACCGTATCAAAGGGTTTAGGTGGTTTTTAAGTCCCTTGTGACATATTGCCAAAGTCCTTCTAAGAGGAAATAGTGTACCTTTATCAAGAATATTGGAACAGTTCTTTTTCTTGGCTTCAGGGTCTTAGATGAGAGAATAGACTTATTTGATTCAAGCAGTGTGTCCTTCTGGGAGAAATAACTAAATCATACCAAACTACAGTGTAGACCCAGTCCTAAAATCCCAAAAGAAATTCTTTGTGATTAGTGGCAGATCTCATGTATAGCATCTTTCAGGGAACTAGTCTATCCTATCCTTGATGGCTCATTAACTTACCGTTTTCCCTAGACACATCTATTCTGTCTCAAAGGGACAGGCATTTTCTCCCTTCTCAGCAGTGAGATGGCATGCAGCCTGCTCTGAAGATCACCTTCTATATCCTATCCTTGACGGCTCATTAACTTACCGTTTTCCCTAGACACATCTATTCTGTCTCAAAGGGGCAGGCATTTTCTCCCTTCTCAGCAGTGAGATGGCATGCAGCCTGCTCTGAAGATCACCTTCTCTGGTCTACAGAATCACAGAAGGGACGAGAAGGAGGCAAGACATGACAGCTCAACTGTGTCATTTGGCATGTAAATAAGCAATAAAAGGAATAACAAAGCTCGTTTCTTTAACATAATAGCCATGTGAGAAATGTAGTGAGCTCAGTGAAGGCTAATCAGACCCACCTCGATTGTTGAGTGTTCATAGACTCAGGCCCAGGAGTCCAGGGGGAAACAAGGTACTGAAAGGGCCATCAAGGCAAATGCCATCTTTAGACATCTGTTTCACTCTGTGGTAGTATCTACAGATAAGGCGTGAAGGCTGTATGTGTGAGGTACAATGAAACTCCTGTTTTCCCTGGTGTTTGTAAAACAGCTAGAAATTCCAGCAGCCCTCTTAAAAATCATGTACCTAGTATGACCAAGCTCTGGATTAAAAAGCAAAGAACAAAAAGCCCCTAAAATTTAGAAGAAAACGCAAGATGCAAGAGGTCACAGTACTGGAAATAAAATAGTCTTGATCTGTGTTTTGGGGAAAGTCATCAGGAAAAAGGAGCTGTAGGTCAGCAGTGGCTCACCTGTGTCATTACCTCATGACGTCTACCCATTTACTTTTTCAGCCAAATTTTTTTTTTTTTT